TATCAGAATTATTTATAATGTTTTTGTCAACCTAAAATACAACATACCTGCTGACAGTTTGCTATTTTTATCAATGTACTTAAAGGGATAGTTCACCCAAAAATGACATTTCTGCCATCATTAGCTTACCCTTGTGTTGTTCCAAAGCAGCTTGAGTTTTTCTTCTGTTGAACACAAAAGAACACATTTTGAAGAATGTTGGAAACCATTGACTTTCATAGTAAAATAATAATAATAATAATAATAATAATAATAAGAAGAAGAAGAAGAAGAAGAAGAAGAAGAAAAAAAATATGGATTTCAGGGATTACAGTTTCCAATAATCAGTTTTTGAAGAAGTTTTTTTAGTAATTTAGTCTTTTTTTTTTCATTTTCAGATTGCACAGACAGACTGATGATAATTACTTTTATTGTGCAATCTAGCATCTGTATTAAGTAATTGTGCAGTATGCATTAGATCAACGTAGGCTCATTCTGAAAACGTGGCCCTATATACATTTCTGGAGAACTATGTTGCCAGAAGTACGTATGGCTGCAATTCATCTTTAAAACGAATGCTATGGGGTGGTATGACGCCGCTATTTTTCACGCTTATTAGCAGTTACCTCCGTATGGAAGGCTTTCCTGCTGTTTGTCCAGTTAACTTGCCATGTAATTCGACAGACTTGAGATGCAGAGATGAGTTCACCATGATGACGGGGTTCAAGTTCGACGAAGAATGGTTACAGAAAGTGGGTAAGACAAAAACAAAAGTAAATAGCAGGGTAAAAATGTGGTAAAATGTGAAAACGTTGTAAAAACTAGGTGAGAGCTTTTCTTTTTCTGGATTGCTTTTTGTTGGCCTCTGGTGGATTTGTAAAAGCAAAAACTGCAAAAAAAAACATGTCTCCTGCGATGTACAGTATTTGTCTTTCTACAGAAGTATATATAGTAGTACGTTTTCAGAATGAGCCTGGGTTGCATCATATATATCGACTACAATAGGACTGCTGTGTTGTTCTAGTGGACAGGAGGAGGTGATGATGAGTGCACTGGTGGATTTTGGGCCTCTTGTTGTCATCGTGGATGCCATCAGCTGGCAGGATTACCTGGGTGGCATCATTCAGCATCACTGCTCCAGCCACAAGGCCAACCATGCCGTACTGATCACCGGTTATGATACCACAGGTACACACACGCAGACACGGTTGCTTTAACACTCTTTACTTGTGCCTTAGAGCATAGAGAGGTTCAGAGCGCTGGCCTTCATGGATTACGTCCTGTCAGGGGCACAAAATTGAGTTGGTAAACACGGGCAGTGCGCCAACATCCCAGAAAACTGCCTGATGCGTCTGCGGTGTAATCAGCAAGCTGTCCGCTGCGTTTATCCTCTCCTCAATTAGTTTTCTGCTGTTTATGTAGTACTTTGAATTAAGCACTGTCAGTTATTACTATTAACATTAATACAATGGATGCTTGGTGTCACCATGTTAGATTAAACAAAACCGAGACAATAAATGAGTGTTATTGCAGGTAATCAGTTTGTCAAAAGTTTTTTATAATACTGAGATGGTTTTGGATTAGTTTAGAACTGGGTTATCATAGTTAACAAAAATAAATAAATAAAAATATATGCAGTTGAAGTCTGTAGTCAGTTGAATTATTAAACCCCCTGAATTATTAGCCCCCCTGCTTATTGTTTTCCTCAATTTTTGTTTAACGGAAACACATTTTTTTAAACACATTTCTAAACATAATAGTTTTAATAACTTATTTCCAATAACTGATTTATTTTTTAATAAATTAATATTTTGGTGGTTTGTTCTGTAGACTACCAAAAAATTTTTTTAATAAATAGCTTAAATGGGGTTATAATTTTGACCTTAAAATGGTGTTTAAAATATTAAAAACTGCTTTTATTCTAGACTTTCTCCAGAAGAACAAATATTATTAGACATACTGTGTAAATTTTCTTGCTCTGTTAAACATCATTGGGGAAATATTATTTAGAAAAGAAGAAATAAATCAAAGGGGGGCTAATAATTATGCATTCAACGGTCTGTCTGTATGTATATATATATATATATATATATATATATATATATATATATATATATATATATATATATATATATCATTATGAATGAACTTCATTCATTTATAATGGATATTGTAAAGACGTAAAAAATAAAATGTCTGAAACTAAAATAAAAACTACAAAATATACTTTAAAAAATTACAAATTGAAAATTTATATTTATATATTTGCATATTAATTTACTAGAAATATACTCATACCACTGAACCTTTTGACAAAATCATTTTCTATATAGTATTAATTTAATCGTTTGTTGTCAGGGAATAATATAACTTAAAATGTAGTGATTGACCAAGCAGAGTCAAGTATTCCAGGGAATTGTGTGATAAATGTTCATACACACACACACACACACATAAAAATATACTGTAGTTATTTAGTAGCTGTAATAATGATATTTCTTACTTTGGATGCCAAGTAAAACATATTTGTTTCCCAGTAGTTGTGCGAGTGTATGCATGTGTTTGTGTGTATGAACATGACTAGTTATTAATCATTTCTCATCTCAGGTGTATTACTGCTGATATGTCTTCATATTTTTCACAGGGGAAGTGCCGTATTGGATAGTGCGCAATTCATGGGGGACCTCATGGGGTGACGATGGATATGCTTACATTAAAATAGGGAATGATGTATGTGGTAAGTTTATGTAGTTGTGACCCACTTTTAATGCTTTTTTACCTTGTCGCCAGTCAAGTGAACCCATACATTCTGCTGCTGTGAGACACTGTGTGCTTTCATAAATATTCATCAAGAGCTTGGACAGTTGGCAAACACTCAAAACTGCCTGCGATGCAAAAATCAAATAATAAATGCCTGGTTGATCATGTTGAAATTCATGATGTTTTTGAGAGATTGTGATCTTGTTTGTCAATTACTTCCAGTGACTTCATGCGATGTCAGATGAGAATCACCAGCCACTCTTTTTCTTTTCACAGGAGTTGCGGACAGTGTTGCTGCTGTTTCTGTGTAATTGTCAATAATCTGTGGCAGACCGGCAGTTTAAAATATCACCCTCAGGATGGAAATCCTCCAGTGTAGATGATGAGACTTGTACAAATTCTCACGGGTTGACAAATCCTTTTGCCTCTCGACTGCAAAGCAAGTTTAGATCATATTCCTAATCCCAGCCAGTGTAGCCCAAAATAATCAGAGTCAGAGCCGGATTTCAGTAAGTTTGTCCCTGAGAATGTTTTCATTTTCAGAAAACACCGTCACTGAGTATGAAATGCACGACGTGCTTTATATTGTTATGTTGTATTGTTATGAACTACCGATCCATAGTTTGGAAACATTACAATTTCTCATTCTGATTTTGTTACGATTTTGTTTTCTGCTCACAAAGAGCACAATTATTTAATCAAAAACATGATGAACCAGTAAATATTGTTAAATATTTTTATTTAGGGGAAAGGCGCACGGTGACTAAGTTTTTAGTTCTGTCGCCTCACAGCATGAAGGTCGCTGGTTCAAACCCTGGCTGGGCCAGTTGGCTTCTCTGTGTGGAGTTTGCATGTTCTCCCTGTGTTGGCATGGGTTTCCTCTGGGTGCTCCAGTTTCCCCCACAGTCCAATGATATGCGCTATTGGTGAATTGAACAAGCTAAGTTGGCCGTAGTGTATGTGTGTTTCCCAGTGCTGGGTTGCGGCTGAAGGGGCATCGGCTGCATAAAACATGTGCTGAATAAGTTGATGGTTCATTCCGCTGTGGCAACCCCTGATAAATAAACGAACTAAGCCAAAGAAAAATGATGAATAAATTATTTCTATTTAATGTAACTTTTGACTGTGTAAATATATTCATTCATTTTCCTTCGGCATAGTCCCTTATTTATCAGGGGTCACCAGAGCGGAATGAACTGCCAACTATTCTGGCATACGTTTTATGCAGCGGATGTCCTTCCAGCCATAACCCAGCACTGGGAAACACTCAAACACACTTACATACTCTCATACAAACCATTTAGTTCATTCAATTCACCTATATCACGTCATTGGATTGTGGGGAAAACCAGAGCACCCGGAGAAAACCCATGCGAACATGGGGAGAACATGTAAACTGGCACACAAAAATGCCAACTGGCCCAGCTGGGACTCGAACCGGCAACCTTTTTGCTGTTAGCCAACAGTGCCACCCTCTGATATCTTGTTGGCTGTTATCATTAATGTGGAAAACAATAATGTTTCTAAATATTTTTGTGATTAATAGTGTTTTAAAATAGCAAATACTAGTAATAAAAAACTTTTATTAATCAAGAATGCAATAAATTGATCAAAAGTGGCTGTAAATAAATTTACAATGCTACAAAATATTGCATTTTAAATAACTTTCTCATCATCAAAGATTGTTGAAAAGTAAAATGTATGACATTCCACTATTATAAAAATCTAAATAAACCTATTTTAGTAATTGACGATTATTATTATTGATTACAACTGTAAATTAACATATTAGAACAATTTCATGTAATTTTGAATCTGAAGACTGGGAAAATAAATGACATTTTAAAATGTTTTCACATAGAAACATATATTTTAATTTCATTCCTTTTAAATATACATATTTATTTTATCGTGTTTTTGATCAAATAAATGCAGGTGGGCAAATGACATTTCTTCTAAAAACTTTGATACATCTTCATGTTTCCAAACCTTTGACCGGTAACTCAAGACACACAGCTCAACTGAGAAAACAAATGTGAAAAGAAATATGTGAATGCTAATTAAAGCCTTAGTTTGAAACGTGCTTATTACTATAGAACAGTATGTATCAGATATTCAGGATCTGCTTTATAAACATTTGTATTGTGTCTGTTTTATAATATTTCTAACGGCAAAGTTTACCTTTTATTGTTTGCACATTTGAGCATTTTTAAGAAGACTGATAGTTATTTTGTTCAAATAAACTAATGTATTTTTATATCTGTATATATGTATACTCTTTATTTACAATTTACAGTTATTATTCAGTTCATACACACAGTAAATTTCAGAATATTACATTATATTGACAGTATATACACAAGTGCATCAACAGTCTGACTGATATAGACATTTGTATACAACATCTGTATAATCAGCACCGCTTTACTCCCTCTCATTCTACCATCTTAAAAAAATATGGGTAGACTTGTGAGTTTTGAAGCTGTTTTTGTATTCTTTTGTACTCTGTCTGCAAACACTGTCCATCTTCTCCTCATTCCTCCATCTGTTTAGTCAGAATCATCACTGCTGCTGCAGTAGGAGCTGTCGCAACATTCAGCCATGTACAGGAAGGTGTGTTCACTTGGGTCCAGTTTGGGCACCCAGTCTCGCGGAATCAAGAACGTGGCCAGGTTAAACAGATCCACAAACACCTTGTAGCGATCACTGGAAAAAAAAAAGTAACATGCTCTGGTTTACCAATACACACTGTACTTGTTTCTTAACGGTTTGTGTTTGCAAATTGTTGCCAGTTGTCATTTTCAAGCATTGCGTTTCACATGGATGGCTCGGACAGATGCAGAGATGGAAGACTGGATTTGTCCCAGATTATTTGGCCTACCTGACAGTGGAGCGCAGGTACTGATAGCCCGATGAGCCACCTGTGCCGTCTTTACTGCCAATCATCCGGTGCACCATACACACATGGTTGTCTAGGGGAAGATTGAGGGATAAATTATGCAGGAGGAAAAAAGTTGAATTTCGTTATTGATAAAAATGTATTTGTTCTCAGTGTTGACATTTTAAAGAGCTTTTGCCCTATAGGGGTCTTTTAGGTCAGTTTTTTTTTCGCAGGTTTGATACTTGATGTTTTGATGGTGTCACATACATCTCCATTTGGTCATGAGGGTATCGATGTCCATCAGAGATGTCAGCAGCTGGAAAGGAACCTGAAATCTAGGCTCCTCCCTGAAAGCAGATGGTGATCAAAGCATTTCTTTAGATAGTCATACATGGTATTCTTAGAGTGTTATGTAGACACCATTATATATTATGTATATCAAGAAGTAGCATGATACCAGGCTTGTCGTCTATCCAAGTTTTAGAAACAACAAATATTAACTTCTAGTTGATCATTAGGTATCAGACGTTGCCTATATAAAATGCAAAGACCTCTAGATTACGCTTATTTTAACAAAATAAAATATGATCATGCCTTGATTTTTAATTATTTGATTAAGACAGTAATGTCTGACTTTGTTTAGACAAAAGTCTTGTCACTAACAGAAATAATGTACAGTATAGAATTTAAAGGCATGGTTCAATGGAAAAATAATTCATATTGTCTATGGCTCCCATGAGCTTGGAGGACTGCATCCATAAACCTCTGCAATGACTCAAATAACCTATTAATAAAGTCATCTAGAGTAGCATAGAAAGCACTCTTGCAGGGCTCCCAGAGTTCATTAAGATTCTTTAGATTCATCTTCAATGCCTTCTACATCATCTAACCCCAGAGATACTCAATAATGTTCATATCTGATGACTGGGCTGGCCAGTTCTGAAGCACCTTGAGCTTCTTTGCTTTAAGGAACGTTGATGTGCAGGCTGAAGTATACGAAAGAATGCTGTCCTGCTGAAAAATTTGCACTCTCCTGTGGTTTATAATGTAATGGGCAGCACAAATGTCTTGATACCTCAGGCTATTGGAATTTATCATCTACTCTGCAGATCTCTTGCATGCCCCCATACTGTATTTAACCCCAGACCATGATTTTTCCTTCACCAAACTTGACTGAGTCTTGTGAGAATCTTGGGTTTGTGCTACATAAATAAATTCTACATACTGAATGTAAAATTAATTAAATTCTACGAGTTTTAACATACAGTGTTAATGATAAAATGTGTTAAATTGTATTGATCTTTTTGAGTTTCTTATCTACACAAAATGTTTAAGTTTCTAAGATTTATTAAAGATACTTATTATCTTATTCAGAAATTATGCATTAAATTGTTCAAGGTTAATAGCAAAGACATTTATAATGATACAAAAGATTAATATTTCAGGTGAACTTTCTAATCCTAAACAAAAATATGAAGGTTTTACAAAACATTTAAGACTCACAACATTGAAAATTACAAAGTGTTATTAAGACGAAACATCCTAAAATGGTACTTGAGAAAATAATCACATGACCCTGAAGACTGGAATAATTTAGCTAAAATTCAGCTTTAATTCAAAGGAATAAATAACAGCATGAAAATGTATTTTAAAAAAAGAAAGTAGTTATTTTCAAAATAACACTTCACAATATTCATTTTTTAAACAGTATTTTGAAAAAATAAAAAACACGGAAAAATCCTACCAGCCTCAAAGCATGGTTGCATATACAATATACAGCATATACTTCTCAAAACCTGGCAGCAAGATTAATGCATCAGTTGCCAGATAAGCTGTACCTGTAGAAGTAGATCATCAGAGCTCCCTGCAGTGCTTTATAAGACAGCCTCCTCTGACCTGCACAAACACAAGCAGATCTTCAGTGGAAACGTCACTTGACATTTTTGTCTCTCCAGAGAGCTTTGCTGACCTGTGCTTACTAGGTGATCATGCCTTTTTTCATCAAAGAGCGATAAGAAAATGTCCCTCTGCTTAATGAGCTCGGCCAGCATCTCCTCCTTCCTCTCCGAGGCTGGTTTTTGCTAGAAGCAGCAGAAATCGTCACTTACAACATACAGTACATTGATAAATACAAGTTCAGAGTTACCCCGAGATCCTCCACAAACCTCAATATGTTCTTTCTCTCTCCTGAGCCCCTCAAAGATATTTTTTTCCAGCTTCCCCCAAAAATTGAAGCCGTCTTCCTCCAAGCCTGGCGTTCTCTCTAGCCATTGCTGAAAAATATTGATTGCTTGTTAATAATGTTAATCTGACTTTGTTTATAACATGTCTCTTTCTGAATATGAATAATATTCAATATAATATCAGAATGATATATTTAATTTTAAACTAAATACACACATTTTTAAATATACATTTATTCATAGTTTTTATTAAAAACAACCATGAAATACATTGCATCAACATACAAATATTGTATTTTGTTTTGAGAAAATACACGAGATACAGCAGTCAACATTTAGTGGATCGTCGCCTTTTTTCAAAAATTAAATTTCATTTTTGATTCACTTTGCCATTCACATGGCCACAAAATTGGCCATATGATGACGTATTATATAATAGACATATACTTATATTACATAACAAAGAATATTACACTACTGTTCATGATATGTGATCTGTAGATGCATAAAACCGTTGCCACTGAAACTGAGATTTTGCTAAATTTACAGTACATTTTTGTTTTTACATTTTTAATTTTAACATTTTTAAAGCTAATTGAAAACACTTTTGTAAGAGAAAATATTTTTTCTTGTGCCTAGTTGTAATTTTAGATAAATATTCACTGAAGGTAAAATGCTGAGCATTCAACTTTTAAACATCCAGTTTATGTAACCAGTCTTTTGAGTCCAATGAACACTGCCCTTTGGAACAAACCATTTCTCCAAATAACTTTCCTTCATTCATTTTTTTCTGCTTATCCAGGGCCAGGTCATGAGGGTCTCAGGAGAGAACCCCAGACTTCCCTCTCCCCAGACACTTCTTTCCCAGACCAGCCAAGAAACATGGCCCCTCCATCGTGTCCGTGGGTGTTCCCCGAGGTTTCTTCCAGGTGGGACATGCCTGGAATACCTCCCTAGGTATGCATCTAGGAAGCATCCGAAACAGATGTCTGAGCCACCTCAGCTGACATCTCTCGATGTGGAGGAGCAGCGGCTCTACTCTGAGCTCCTCCCGGGTGACAGCTCCTCTACCTCAGTCCTCATCTATAAGGCTTCGCCCTGCCACCCTGCGAAGGAAACTCATTTTGGCCGCTTGTATCCAAGATCTTGTTCTTTTAGACATGACTAAAAACTTACGATCATAGGTGAGAGTAGGAACGTAGATTGACCTGTAAATCGAGAGTTTTGCCTTTGGATTCCTTATTATCAAGACTCAAAACCCACTTATTTAAGATGGCTTTTATTACTTAATTTTATTTGCACTATTGCTGTGTATGTTTGATTATTTCTCTTGTTGTTTTATTGCTCTTGTTGATTGTACGGTGTCCTTGAGTTGCTAGAAAGGCGCCTTTAAGTAAAATGTATTATTATTATTATTAACCACAACGGGCCGATACATCGACCACATTACTGCTGTCGCTGCACTGATCCACCTGTCAATCTCATGTTCCATTTTTACCCCACTTGTGAGCAAAACCCCAAGATACTTCAACTCCTCCACCTGGGGTAAAGACTTTCCTCCATCCTGGAGATGGCAAGCCACCGTTTCCCAGTGGAGCACCATGGCCTTAGACTTGGAGGTGCTGATTCTCATCCCAGCCATGTCACATTCGGCAGCCACCCGCCCCAGTGCATGCTAAAAGTCCATATCCGATAAAGTCAATAGAACAACATCATCTGCAAATAACAGAGATGAAATCCTGTGGTCCCTGAACAGGACCCCCTCCAGCCCAAGGCTGTGCTTTGAAATTTTGTCCATAAAAATTGGGAAACCTGCCAAATACCAAATTCCAAATACCTCAAAACTGTTAAATCATTTTCTTTTTTTATCAAGCCTTATTTCCACATCTAATTTCTTTTCAAATCCACAAAAAAGTGTTTCCAATACTAGATTGACCGTGTGTGTACTAGTTGCTAGTTTTTTTGTTTGTGCTTTTGTGTCTAGTGTTTGTGGAATTTCTTTTAGTCAGAGCCTTTTAAATACAACATAGAAAACAGATTCATGTATCTGAAATACTGCCCATCTCTGCCTCTAAAGAAGTTGTCCTTGAATTCTCTGAGTGCACGGATTAATAGAGTATTCATATTTGATGGTTTCCTCAGGTTTACCTCAACTAACTGAAGCAGCGTGGGCTCCTGCTCTGAGTGGAGGAGCAGCTCACTCTCCTGGTCTCGGAAATTGTCCCTGTAATGCCTTCTGTTGTACGGCACCCTCTGGTTGTGCGGGACCCCAATCTTGTTCTCCAGCAGTCGAAACTGCAAACTCTGGAAGCCTGAAGCTGGTGAGAGATACTCCCTGTGCGCAAAAAACATGCAGATCAATTGAGCTAAATGCAATTATGCTAAACACCGCCATTGATTTTGATTTAACAAATTAGTGCCATCTAATGCTTATTTACTGAGTTTGCCATCTCCAGTCTCTTGAGTGTTAGTACATTTCCAAGAGCCATTTTCTCCAAAGCTGTGTGTAATACTTGTTTTCAGTGACTGCATTAGAAATAAAAATCATGAAAATTATTTACCTGAAGTCATAGAAGTCTAAGGCCGTCATGGTTTCCAGAACAGCGAACTGGTCAAGCAACAGTCGAAATATCATCACAATCCTGTGTATGCGAGTGTTGACTTTAAGCATGTTTCGCTCGTCTCGTACCTGAGGAAAAATACAGGGTATTTGCTATTGTTTCCTTTGTCTTTATAATGCCACTAACATGACATTTAACTAGATGAGAGTCTTCAACTAGACTGAAGGTGGCAGCCTTATGCTGCAGTGCAAACGCTTTCTTTTTTAAGCTGAATTACATCTATTATAAAACTGAAGGTTCAGGCTGTTTATCATTGTCCAAAAGGCCTCCAAACAATAAATTAATTGAATTTCAGATTAGGTTTAGAAGCATGCATTTGTGGCACGCACCTTGACAAGTTTCCCAAAAATGTTTTTAAAACCCTCATATACAGTATGTGATTGTGAAGTAATATCAAAAACACTTCCATCCATTAGAACATTGCTGTGTGTGAATGCATGTCCAGTATGTAATTATATAGTGCTCAACATAAATGAGTACAACACATTTTGAAAATGAATATTTTTAACCATTTCTCAGTGAATATAAGTCATATATTTTGGTGCATTAAAAAAAAAAACATTTATTTATCAATGATTTATTAAACGAATATATTTATTCAAATAATATTTCATATTTATAATAATATTTAGGAATAGAAAGATATTAAAATTTATATGAACTATTTGAAAACAAAATTATAAACAACAAAATTTCAACTAAATTTTATTTTTTAAAAATTCTTAATTTTTGTATTTAATATTTTTCTATAACATAATCATATACATTTGGCTGTACTAAGTGTGGACCGTTAATTGTGGATCATAAGTTATTGTGTTAGCTTAGCTCCAGATTTGGCTTTAGTGCTTACTAATCTAATCTGTATGCACAAATATAATATCGTAAATTTCCTATTATATTGATCTAAATGAGAGATTGATGAGGGTGTCTATTTCCTAATCTGCTATTGCCTCTCTGGGTATACCACTAACTGTACTCAAAAAAAAAAAAAAAAAAAAAAACAAAAAAAAAACTCAAATTTTACAAAAAAATTACTAAATTACAAAAAAATTACTAATACTTTCCTTCTTAGACTTTACAGACCTGAAACTTGCCTATAGCACTTATTCATTGTTGCTCTTATAGTTGTGTAAATTGCTTCCTTGTCCTCATTTGTAAGTCGCTTTGGATAAAAGTGTCTGCTAAATGACTAAATGTAAATGTATACCTATATGTTGAGCACTGTATATTCTATAAACATACATATGAAAATACTAATAGCTAGATACAGAAAAAAGAATTTGAAAATGCTCAGTTGCTCTAGACTTAATATGTGTAATGTATATACTGTATATATGATGGAGTATTAATACTGTGTTGTTATTTATAATGTAATTATTAACCAAAGCAAATCCTTTTTCCATTGATAATAATGTCTTGAGCATTAAATAAGCATATTACGATGATTTCTGAAGGATTATGTGATGCTGAAATTTCAGCTTGCCCTAAAAGCAATAAATTGCATTTCACAATACATTAAACTTTTTTATTATTATTATTATTATTTTAAATTTCAGATGTATAAGAGACTTCATTGCTCACACTTTAAAATAAGGTTACATTAGTTCATGTATTTACTAACATGAACTAATTATGAACAATATTTGTACAGCGTTTATTAATCACTGATTAACATTGACCTACAATTACATGAATGTTAACATTTATTAATGCATCTTGAGTTAACAATGAACAACTATATCTTCATGAACTAACATAAACAAATACTGTAATAAATGTATTGTTCATTGTTTGTTCATGTGATGTAATTGATTAACTAATACAGTCTTGTGAAGTGTTGCCGCTTGTTTCAAAAGCATGAAAACAACTCAAGTTTTAAACAGCAGTGTCACTGATGCGGAATAACACAAACTATTAGTTAATAATATTAAAAAACTAATTGGCCTGATTCTGTCTGAGCTGTTGAGCTGATTTAGTGTTTTATTTACAGATATTTATGAAAAGCATTCATCATCTCTCGCTAATCTCTTCTTTGTGCCCTGTCAGCCTGAACCTTCATTACATGTAATATTCTCATTAAAAAAATGGTTTTAAGCTCATTTTTAATAGGTGACTTATTAAATGTTAATCTCATTACATTAATTAAAAGTAGGTCCATTCCAGTTAGGGGAAATAAGCTTTCTAGCCTTTCATCATGACCTGCTAACACAAACGTTCAAGTTTTTTAGTATTTGCTCTACTCACATGTCCGCTAATGAAGATTTCTCTGACTGAGTCCAGCTCCCACAAAACCTGCTTAAACCACAGTTCATATGCTGCAATAGAAAGAAGCAGTTAATCATTTCTTTAGATGACATCTGAAAAGTCATTACACTTCAAGGTAAATACACAGAAGTGCCGTTGGTCCTTGAGTTCTCTAAAGAATCTTTACGATGTATAAAAGTCACTACACGTGAGCATGTACAGCATTAATGGACCATGAGTTTGAGAAGCCCTGCATTTGCAGGTGTAGTAAATTGCTGCTTGTCATTATTTTAGAGAGCTACAGTTGAAGACAGAATTATTAGCCGGCCTGTATATTTTCCCCCAATTTATGTTTAACAGAGATTTGTTTAATACTTTACTAAACATAATAGCTTTAATAACTAATGTAATAACTAATTTCTTTTAATTTTTGTCATGATGAGTGCAATTTAAAGGCTTAACAAGGTTAATTAGGCAAGTTAGAGTAATTTGGCAAGTCATTGTATAACAATAGTTTGTTTTGTAGACAATCCAAAAAATAAATATTTCTTAAGGGTGGTAATAACATTGACCTTAAAATTGTTTTAAAATAGTTAAAAACTCCTTTTATTCTTGGCAAAATAAAACAAAAATAAAAAGCAGATTTTTCCAACACATTTCTAAACAATAGTTTTAAAAACTTATTTCTAACATCTGATTTATTTTATTTTATTTTATTTTTTGCCATGAATACAGTAAATAATATTCCTCTAGATAGTTTTTAAGATACTAATATTCAGATTAAAGTGCAATTTTAAAGCTTAACTAGGTTAATTAGCTTAATTAGGCATGTTAGGGTAATTAGGCAAGTCACTGTAGAACATTGGCTTGTTCTGTAGACAATCGAAAAAGAATGCTGCTTATAGGGGGCTAGTAATTTTGACCTTAAAATGGTTATAGAAAAATTGAAAACTGCCTTTATTCTAGCCAATATAAAACAAGTAAGACTTTCTCCAGAAGTAAAAATATTATTGTATATACTGTGAATTTATTATTGTATATACTTTTCTTGCTCTTTTAAACATCATTTAAGAAATATTCTTTAAAAGAAAAAGTAATTACACAGCTTATATTTTTGACTTCAGCTGCCAGTAAAGACATTCAGTGATTGTAGTTTTTAAAATATGAATGTATTTATATAACTTCATAAGCTCCGACTAGGTCAGTCACTCCCGTTTTCGCAAATAAACTGAAATACTTTATGCGGTTGACTTTTTGAGTTAGTATTGTCTGTTTTTACCTGTCAACATTGAGAGTTATAAACAGTGAAAAAGAGCTTGTTTTGGGAGCCTTCATAGGAGAGCAACTAAGACTGATTTGCCCAAAGGCTGTTTAGTGTTTGCGAAGCTCACCTTGATGTGTGACGATGAACAGATGTTCGTCATGGATCTTGTTTCCCTTCAGCTCACTTTGAAGCACCTGAGATGTCACTATTTTATCCAGCTGGGGATGAGAGAACAGTTTGCTTTTATGAAAAGCGTGTCAGAGACAAAAAGTCTGAAATAATCAAACTCTGTGTATGTGTTTATAATAGAAGGTTAACAGATTCAGTGTTTGCTGTTAAAATCTGATGCTTTTAGTACTCACAGTCTCTAATGTTAATTAATTTGAAAACCGAAGAAGAATCTTGTGGTGCTGTGGACATATAGATCATTATTATAAAGCTAAGTTTCAAGGACTGCTCACCAATTAATCATTAACTATTTTAAGAGAAGCTATGTTTCATGCTAATTAAAGTAGACCTATATGAAAACATCATTAATGCGTGGACAAAAAAAAGATTTTTTTATGCTTCATGAATATAATTGTAATACTTATATTTTCCACATACAGTTGAAGTCAGAATTATTAGCCCCTCTGAATTATTTGCCCCCAGTTTATTTTTGCCCCAATTTTTGTTTACCAAAAATAAGATTTTTTAAACACATTTCTAAACATAATAGTTTTAATAACTCACTTCTAATAACTGATTTATTTTATCTTTGCCATGATGACAGTAAATAAATTTTGTCTTTCTCCAGAATAAAAAATATTATCAGATATACTGTGAACATTTAATTTCTCTGTTAAATATTAGTTGGGAAATATTTAAAAAAGAGAATAAAAAAAATCAAAGGGGGGGGTAATAATTCTGACTTCAACTGTATATCAGAATCTCTTGTTTATTTTTTATACTAGAATAGTTATGAATAGATATTCACTATTACCGCGATTTACAGAAGACATTAATTCAAACAAAATTAATTCAGTTTACCAATAGTTAAATGTAAACAAAAATTTTGTCGGACAAATTTAGAATAATAATCATGACTTTTGTCATCAAACAGGGTTTCTACAGGTTTCCTGTAGTTATTGTAAATTTAAGACTTAAAGACGTTTAAGACCATTATGAATAAAATTTTGGACTCACACAGGGCTTAATGCTAGGGAGTTTTTCTAATGGCCCAAATGGAAAATAATTAATAGAATTCCATACATTTAATAATACAATAATAATTTTAATAATAAAAATATATATTTAAAATATTTATTATCAAAATAGTTTAAATATTGTGTCAAATCCAGCATGGTCTAGTTGTAAACCCACTTTTCTTTAACATATACTTTCTTTAAAATAAAAACAAAAATTGACAAATGTTTTAAAAGTTTTAAAAACTATAATAAACTAAATGTACAGTACTGTACGCACAACAGTCTGTCCAGGTCAGTATCCTCAGCAGTAAATGCATACCGTTTAAACTACAATAATTAATAATAAATGAACTATTATGGTTAATAGAGTTAAAAAAAATACAAAATTACATTTGTAAATAAAAGTTAAATGTTTTATTGAGATGGATTATTGCTGATTGAATGGGTGTTCTTTCAAGAGTATTCAACGGACAGCTATACATAAACAAAGGAAAATGAAGAACTGTTTATAAAAGGATTTAAAATTTTTAACACAAATGTAAGACTTTTTAAGGCCTAAAGTTCTGTTTTTGCAATTTAAGATATTGTAAGACATTTTAAGCCCCAGCAAATACCCTGATCAAAAAGATGTTTTAGGAAATCTCTTGTAAAGAAAAATATGTATCAGATGTCCTTTCTGCCGACTGCCAGAGTTTTAAATATTGGGTCTTGAATGTATTTGTGTTGCTTGATTTTCTGTTATATGTGTGATGTGAATGCTGATATGGTTATGTGGTACAGCCAAAGATAAATTTACCCTTGTGGACAATAAAGAAAGTATTGTCATTTAAATCAATTATTTAGCCTAATTTCAGATAAAATACATTATCTGAAATGTGAATGAATAAGCTTATCGTTGATGTGTGGTTTATTGGGATAGGAATTTATTTATTGTGCTGAGATACAACTATATTATTAAGCATTTTGTTTTTAATTATTATTATTTACAGTAAAAAAAAAAAATGGTAACACTTTACAATAAGGTTCATTAGTTAATGCATTCACTAACATGAACTAATCATGAACATCACATGTACAGCATTTATTAATCATAATTCAACATTTACTAATGCATTATTAACAACCAAGTCCGTGCTTGTTACCATTAGTTAATGCACCATGAGTTAACATGAACTAACAATGAACAACTGTATTTTCATCAACTAACATTAACTAACATGAACAAATACTGTAGTAAATGTATTGTTCATTGTTTGTTCATGTTAGTAAATGCATTAATTAACATTAACTAATGAACCTTATTGTAAAGTGTGACCAAAAAAATAAAGATTACATGTCTTCATGGAACATGAACTTTACATAATATTCTTAGAATTTTGGAATGAAAGTAAAATCAATCATTTTGAGTCATGAAATGTTTCTTTTGGCAATTGGCCAAAATATACCCTTGCAACATTTATAGGTTCAAGGTCACATCTGTCAATAAAAAAAGTAAATATAATGCATACTTGCGCACTATTCTCTGCCACTTTGTAGTGTAAACAGTGTAATTAGTGCATTTACACTGAAATATATAAGGAATAAGTGCATTTTAAATACCCACATGATGCAATTATCCAACCATTAAAAATAAGTGTGAAATGTTGGACACTTCATGCACTTAACAGCCACAGCTTTACTCACTTAGCGGTAGGGGCGGAGCTTTCGGGCTGTGATGTTGGATTACTTTATTTATTTTGGATTATGCAAGTAAAATTCTCCTACGTGAGTGACTATGCGACTTCATGATATTGAAGGTGGTTTACTGACTTTAGGTACCATTTGGTGATTTCGTCATTTATTTCATTATTTAGGCAACCGTCAAACGTCATCTGGGAAATGGTTTGAATTTCAGGTTAGTAAAAACATCTTAGTGGTCCATTTGCGGAGGCACTAAATTCATATACTATATTGAGTGTGTAATTGCATATGTTACATACAGTAGAACATACGTGCATAGTGCCATTTGGGACACAGTGGATGACTTATTTTGATATATACACTGTTAAAAATGCTGGGTTCCACACAAATGATTTGTGTTGGGAAAACCAGAAGTAATTAACTTATCTTATTTGTTTTTAAATAGTTTTTATAAGTGGATTGAACAAATTAACTTAAGTTGTTCTGTAAAAAAACAAGAATTGTGTTGTTTGAGGTCATTTTTAACAAGTAGTTTGAACAAACATCATTTTTTGAGTGTATTAACAAAGTTAAGTAACAAAAATATGTTTTTAATTTAAAATAATCAACAAAACATTTTTTGACACATAGTTCACCCATATTTAAAAAAATAAAAAGTTTTTAGTATGGACAACATTTTTAAATAAAAAGTTAATATAGTGTGTTCAGTACATACAGTAAAAGTGTTTTACCTGCAGATAGTCTCCATAGATCAGACCTCCTTTGCTGGCTTTGTTAATTCCAGTCTGAGCTTCATCATTCTCCTCTTCTTTCAGATGCTGCTTACTAGTTGACCTGTGTTTTTTCATCAAACGCATCAACATCAAACCACAAGAACACACAACAGGTTTGCCTTACAACTTATATCAGATATGCAAAGAAGATACATTTTGGAGAGAAATTTGGCTTTTATTTACTCATAATCATGCAAAGAATGCTGAAAAAGTAGCTTGAAATACATACAAGAATTTCCTCTGAAAATACGGACATCCGCTCATGGCTGAAATGTGAATAAATGACCATCAAGATTGTTGTTATCAAGGTTTTCCACAGTTTTTATAGTGTCTCCCTCGTGGCAACTGACCAATCGGCTGTATCTCCATCCCGCCTCCCTTTTGGCCATGTTCACTGCCGGACACTCTGTACTTTGTCTTTTTCTTATCTTTGGAGAAATCCAACTAAAAGCCATGAATTTGAAAGAGAACTTTGACTTCATAACATTACGAGCTGGGCTTTTGTACATAAACTGAGCGTATGTTAGATCATGTCAGAGGGTTCAGATGGAGCTGCTCTGTTGAATTTCATCAGCCATTCTGTATTGACTTCTAACTAGAATGACTGAATTACATTACCCTTAACAGCCCTTTTACTTACATAACAATTTGACAGACTAGCCCATGTAATGTGATTAAATTTACTCATTGTATATATTAATGTGCCATTGTAGGATTATTTAAACACTGTTTTAACAATACTTTTTTTATTGGTAATTTGGGCTTGTTATTTTTTTCTTAACATTATATTATTGTAACTTTACATATATTATTTATTTCTGTTTAGTTTTAGTAGTACAACTTATTTTTTAGTTATAGTTGATAGCAATGTTATTTAAGGATCATTGAATGAATGGTTAGAGAGAAGAGTTCTGTCTGGTTCTTGAATCTGATTGGCTGATAGCCGTGAGATATTAAAGCAATTTTAGCACTCATAAAGCATCTTGACCCTTGTGTATTACTCTGCCCACACTAGGACTAAAGAACGACTAAACAACTGACTATAGCTGACGATCTTTGCCCAAACCCGACGGGTTTAGTTTCTATAATTTTAGACGGGATCAGGCCGGGCGTGGCTTGGCTTGCGTGGTAAATAAACAGTCATGTGATGCATTTGGATTAGCGCGAGAAAGTAATCAAATCGTTTGTTACAACATTAAAATCCCTCCCTGCAAAGGTGTAACAAAAGATGACAGAGTGAATTTTGACTGCAGTCAGGGCAGCCGCCAGTCCAAAAAGAACGGTCATTATAGCCGGAAAGGTATTTCGGTGATCGCTCATACACTTCATATTATGGTAGAGCGCAAACAGCACAGCAAGCTGACAGGGAAGATGACGAGGTCACTCGCTGACCTCGCAGCAGCAGTGAAAGGGTGTTTGGTGCTGCTGGACGCACCATACTGAGCGCAGGACTGCACTAAAGCAATTTACAGTGGATTCAAATGTTCCTCCACAAAACATGTAGCCTAATCTTGGTGCTTAAAGGGTTTTTAAATTATAAATAAACCATAAAATTGTAATGTAGACAGAGTATACAGGCTAATGTTGACAATACGATATATTTAACTTCACTGTCGCCTTAAGGTCAGATTTTGAAGATACGTGGCGAAACAAATCTTGCAGAGCCTTAATCTTGATTTTGTTATTGCCAATTTTAATTTCCAATTTAAATTTTAATTTAATTTGTTAAGAAATACTTATTTTCATTGGCATGTTGCCCAATTTAAAGGCTAAGTGTATGAACCTAGGCCTAAATATTGTGCTGAGATGTTACGATGCTACAGAGGACTTATTTTATACTTATTTTATTTCTTTGTTCCAACTGGCCTATAGCCTATGTTTGTTACGAATAAATTATGTTAAAACGCATAAATGACTCATTCTTGAAAAAAGGCAAAGGATTCAAATGTGCCTGTGCACATTTAAACAATGTCGGCTATAAATGGGTTCGGGCTTTATAAAGCTGTCAATCAAAATGTACCCGTCAGACTCTAATTTTTATGGCTCGATTACAGCTCTACAACTCACTACAGTTTGACAAACAATGCAGCTGTTGGACACCATAATGTACTTTTGAGGCTTTTTTAGTCTGGAATGTAGTTTTTTTAGATTGGGACTATGCATGTATTCATGAGCATAGTGCCTATTTTACATATTCATAATTTCCAAGATTCAGCATCAGCCTGTCATACTGAGCAGAGCAAAGACGGATGTTCCGCCACAAGATGGCGCTAGGGACCCCATAATAAGTCCTTAGTGGAGAAAAACCCAGTAAATTTCAAACTACACCTGATCAAATTATTATTAAACTGGTAAGAGACTAAGTCAATCTCTCTCTTTTGTGTGTTGTTGCATTTATACCCCAGTAATCTAGTAGTGTTTGCTTTGCTTTGGCTTCTTCTGGGTCAATTATTGTGATCTCCCGCTTGCAACAGAGAAATATCTGTAGACTGATGGCATGTCATGCCGTTCAACCTTATAATCTTGTAATGTAAGCAAAGTAATGTGTTTATTGTACAATACAAATAATTTACAATAACATACACTGTAATATATATATATGTAACAATATATTTTATTATTTTATTATAATTAATTATTCAATAATATTTAGCTAATATCAAATGTTGACTACTGTGTATACATTGCTCAGAAAATAAAGGAAACACTTAAACAACACATTCTAACTATGTGTTCCCTTTATTTTTATTTTTTAAACAGTATATATATATATACACTTACCGGTCATTTTATTAGGTTCACTTTACTAGTATTGTTTTTTCCACTTTACTAGTTTCTAGTTTTATTTTTGCCTTCAGAACTGCCTTGATCCTTTGTGGCGTAGATTCAACAAGGTACTGGAAGTATTACTCAAAGATTTTGGTTTTTAATGACATGATAGCCCCACACAGTTGCTGTAGATTTGTTGGCTGCTCATCCAAAATGCAAATCTCCCGTTCCACCACATCCCAAAGATGCTTTATTGGATTGAGAACTGGTGACTGTGGAGGCCATTTGGGTACAGTGAACTCATTTTCATGTTCAAGAAACCAGTCTGAGATGATTCATGCATTATGACATTAAATAATTTTTTCGCGCTTTATTATGTGTTATCCTGCTGGAAGTAGCCATCAGAAGATGGGTACACTGTGGTCATAAAGGGATGGACATGGTCAGCAACAATACTTAGTTAGGCTGTGGCGTTGACACGATGCTCAGCTAATACTAATTGGCCCAATGTGTGCCAATTATCCCCCACACCAATAAACCACCAGCCTGAACAATTCAAGGCAGGATGGACCCATGCTTGATGCCAAATTATGACCCTACCATCCATATGTCCCAGCAGAAATCAAGACTCATCAGACCAGGCAATGTTTTTCCAATGTTCTATTGTCCAATTTCGGTGAACCTATGTGAATTGAAGCTTTAGTTTCCTGTTCCTAGCTGACAGGAATGGCACCCAGGGTGGTCTTCGTGTGGTGCATTCAGAAATACTCTTCTGCATACCTCGGTTGTAATGAGTGGTTATTTGAGTTACTGTTGTCTTTCTGTTAGCTATTCTCTTCTTGTATCAACAAGGCATTTGCGCCCACAGAACTGCTACTCACTGGATATTTTCTCTTTTTCAGACCATTTTCTGTGACCCCTAGAGATGGTTGTGCGTGAAAATCCCAGTAGATCAGCAATTTCTGAAATACTCAGACCAGCCTGTCTGGCACCAACAACCATGCCACGTTCAAAGTCACTTAAATCACCTTTCTTCTCCATTCTGATGCACAGCTTGATCTGCAGCTGATAATCTTGACCATGTCTACATGCCTAAATGCATTGAGTTGCTGCCATGTGATTGGCTGATTAGAAATTTGCATTAACAAGCAGTTGAACAGGTGTACCTAATAAAGAGGCCGGTAAATATATATATATATATATATATATATATATATATATATATATATATATATATATATATATATATATATATATATATATATATATATATATATGAGGTTAGGTGGGGGTGGGGTTAGGTGCCACGCCTCCTATTAAAAATACAGTTTCGTAGGACTGAACTAAACTGGCAAACTGTAAAATAAATACTTACGTTTTCTCGTGATGTCAGGCTGATCCTGATAAATAAACACTACAAACGTCCTTGCGTACAATGAAACAGCCAGATAAAATTTTCCATGTTTCCTGTTTGTTTTCAGATGTCTTTTTTTTTTTTTTCCAGTCAAATTTAGTGTGCAGCGAATGCAGAAGGAAAGTATTGAACAGCACACTCAGCATGAAGGTGAGTCATGCAGTATTTCAATCATTCTCATGCACTCTGTCTTTTCATGTGTCCCTGTATATTTACAGCAGCTCATATATGAAAGAGTGTGTATAGAGTCCTTTAATGATCTGCTGTAAATACACATGCATCTCAGCTGGATTGTGTGTGTGTGTGCGTGTGTGACAGGTGAACTCAGGCTGGCCACAGCAGATTGTGAAAGGTTGGGAGGTTTGTGGATGTGATGTGTGTGTCAGAAACGGACAGCAAGCTCGTCTTTGTGTTCTCGAGTGTCTTGTGTCCTTGTAAACACACTGCCTGCACAGTTTGCTGATATTGAACGCTTTGTGACAAGGATTGGGTGTCACTGTCTTCATACCTTTTGTGAAGAGTTGACTAATCCATCAAATCTGCCACTCGGGGCACGAGCCACACAAAAGTGCCTGTTGGAGACAATCGAGTGACCTTCACAAACCAGTTTTATTTTGGGAATTCGGAGTGGGAGAAAATAAAGTGCTTCAAACGGAGAAAAAAAACAAACAAAAAACATGGCCAAGCATTCTGGAAATCCTGGAAATTTACTGACAAGTCCTAGAAAACACATGACAAATAAGAGAAATCATATATTATCCTGTAAATATCTTGTTGTTCTGAAAAAATATTCATATTTTTAGATGCTTTTGCTCATCAAACAACAGTTCAGTGTTTTTTATGGGTTAGGGTTAGGTTAGGGGATAAGGTTAGGGTTAGGGCTTTTAATCCTGGTCAAATATGGACAAACCCAACTGGTGTTTTAAAAATTGTTATTGAAATTGGATTGAAATAATTTACCAAATGGCTGCACGGTGGTGAAGTGGATAGCAAGTTCGCCTTACAGCAAGAAGGTAGCTGGTTCTCCCCATGTTGGTGTGGGTTTCCTCCGGGTGCTCCGGTTTCCCCCACAAGTCCAAAGACATGAGGTGAATTAGGTTGGCTAAATTGT